GAGTATAATGATCAACTGTGTCAAACGCTTTACGAAAATCAATATATACAACACCAGTTACTTGACCTTTGTTCAAAGCACAAATTCCCACAAATATGTTTAATTTTTTGTTACGTCATTTGTTAGCTGATTTGGAAAATGCATTSTTTAAGTGGAATGTTTCTCCTGTTTTCTTCAAATGAAACCCACCTCCTTGTCCAGTTTACAGAATTTCTATCCAAAGAATTGATTTTTGACACSATTTCTCCTTTTCCAAATGACTTTATGTCCTTGTTATGCGGTGATAATATCCTCCTGAGTCAGTGTGCTTGTGCATTGTGTGCTGGACTGTTTATTTTGAGATGCTGCGTCCAGAGTTGCTCTATCACAATACACACAGTATCAGTGCAAGGAATGTACTTAGATAAGAGAGGATTATATTAACATTCTGGTTTAAAGTGAGCTACAAACTTAAACATCAGGTGCACAAATTAAAAAATGGAAAATAATCCTAATTAAYGTCACATTGGAACTGTTATGGTGGGAAAACAAACATGTGACCCCTTTCCCCCCTCAGATGACAACGGCCTCCCTGAAGCCTGCAGCGAAGCCTCCGATGAGGACTTTGCCATGGGGAACGTCGAGGCTTTCCGAAAGGATTTTGCTTCTCGCGTGTGGCTGACATACCGGGAAGATTTCTCTCCGCTGCCGGGCAGCTCCCTGACCTCTGACTGCGGCTGGGGCTGCATGCTCAGGGCCGGRCAGATGATGCTGGCTCAGGCTCTCGTGCTACACTTCTTGGGCAGAGGTGAGGRGGAAAATGATGAACAAGTTGCAGGATAAAGATGATAAGATAAGATAAGATAAACCTTTATTGTCCACCAAGGTGGAAATTTTCCTTTTGCTCTCCAGCCATAAAACGCATTCATACAGTCATCATTTCAAAATTTTAAAATACAAATAAAAACAAAAATAAAAACCCTTAACCCAGTTTGGTTAAGAATGGTTATTGCACTAGGAACAAATGACTTAGAATGAATGAAATTAAAATGAATTGGAGCCATGTAAAAACATTGGAGTTTAATAAAAGATCTAGCAGGTTAAACTGATTGTAGTTTTATGTCAATTAAAGGCAAATAAAAARGATAATACTTTAACAAGTATCGCTAAAAATAAAAAACTTGCTCAGCAAGCGGTTTAATTAGTTTTCTTTCTCCTGTGTATGAATGTGTCAGTAGACAGTGGAATTAGAAAACTGATTTAATCAATAATAWAGAAACCTAAAAAGAGGAAGATTATGTGCATTAAGTTAGTTTTTTTACACGTATCATTTTAGAATGAGCTGCAACTTTTAAAATTTCACTTCCTGATGTTTGCAGGAACTGCGACTTGTTTTCGATAAGAGTTTATAAAGCTGATGCATCACATTTAAAATATGAATTTTTTAGTCTTTTTGRGATACATTGTCTCAAATCACGGCTTTATGAGTCAACCGTCCAATGCMGTGATTTAGAAAAAAATTCAGATTTATTCTTCCCGATCTCTAAAATATGTCGCTAATAAAATATTTCTCTGTAAAGGGACACTTTGGGACATTTATTGATCCATTTCASATTTGATTGACTTTGACTGGAGGTCATTTTTTAACGCCTCGGGCTTACTTTATTGCTCCGACCACTCCCATTCTATCTGCTTTCAGCTCCCACTCTGTTTGTAGGGCTGAGACKTTCTGAAAATGAAAAACTACGACAATCAAACTTATAATTGAACAGTGTGACTTTTAATCTGTTTTCTCGATTGCATGAAGGGTCCAGGCTWTTTAAGGCACATGACTTCTAATTTCAAGGTCTGAATAACCTTTTAGTTTTATCACTTTAAAATGGAAATTAGACGTATTGAATAATCACTTTTGGAAACTGTCAAAAAAAAAGTTTACTACTATTTATCATTACAGTTGTCAGGTTTTTTAGAGGGGAAAAAATATTTTTTTGCAGCATCAATAGTTCCAACATTTTTACGGTTTGATTTTAAGTTTATTACAATAAATTCATTCTAAACTCTGTGGCTCACTTCTTGTTTGCGTGCAGACTGGACCTGGCCMGAGGCGCTCACACTCCAGCCTTTAGACACAGAGACGCGGACCACCACTGCAGCGAAGCGCCTCGTTGCCTCTCTGGAGGCTTCCCTGCAGAGCTCCCTCAGGTCTTCTGATAGCGAACCGTCTCCTGGACCCCACCCTCGGGCCCAGGGATCGGCAGAGGAGGCAGATGCTCATTTAAAGGAGATGTATCACTGCACTCTGGTGTCCTGGTTCGGGGACATGTCCTCTGCTCCTTTAGGCCTGCACAGACTTGTCTACTTAGGACTGACGATGGGGAAGCAGGCAGGGGACTGGTATGGTCCAGCTGTAGTTGCACACATCCTCAAGTAAGCTCCTTTCCTCTCTTATTGATCCATTTGTTWATTATTTGTCATCTTAATTGAATATACACTTTACATAGACATTTATTGTCTAAATGAGATATATTTCCATATACAAACTGAAATACTTGTACTCAGTTTGAAAAAAGTAATGTTGAAATACCAGAGTTATTTGCAATGTGTACTCGATTACAGTGTGTTTCTAAGTGGGGCCACTAGGGGGCGGTAGGGAGACATCAGAAAGCTGGAGGGAAGTAAAGAGAAAAAAAAAATGTTTTTAATCGTTATAAAATCAAATCTGTTTTTCCAATCATTATTTTAAAATATAATTTATAACAATATTTAAAAATGTTTAAGAGAGCTTAAGAGCATTTTGATTTATTTTGTTCTGTTCCTTTCATCGTTTTTTTAAGTTGCTTTTCAGTGGGAATAAACACAAAATATGTTAGTTAAAAATATTCTGCTAAACAAATGTAATATTTATTGACTAGTGAGTAAAAAACTTGATGTTTCTTTACATATTTTATTGCCTTTTTTGTGGGTTTGCTAGGATGGTTCCYGGTCAGTAGCTAATGCCGTTTGTGGGACCATGGCACGAAAAATTTTGGGAACTCCTGCCTTATTAGACTGACTGTTGTKAAAGCAGAAAGCAAATAATGCAACAGCTAAACACCACTTTGTTTTAAAAGTTGAAGTTGAAACAATAGTCACTTTATATGATAAAATAAACACTAATGTCTGAATTGCGGAATCTTTTTAATTAATAAACTTGACGTTTCAGCTCGGTTTCCTTCCTTCCTTGTCCTGTTTTTTTTAATTATTAAATTTTTTTCTGTTTCTGTCTTTTAGGAAAGCTGTCAAAGAAGCGATGGATCCTGGCTTGGCGGGTATAACTGCCTACGTCTCCCAGGACTGCACAGGTAGAGAAGATGATCATGCTGGGCACAGCGCCCAGGCTGACTTTTCTKTTGCTTTGTGTTATTTTTCAGTTTTTTTCTTAACCATCTTTCTGTTGCTATGAGACTTGAGCTTCTTTGAAACGGGGACAGTCTATCCCCCACAACAAACATCCATTTCAAGTCTATAACATCTCGCTTCAACTTTTAACTTTTATCAGTATGTGACCTCACATATTTTCATACGTACCTCAGGGCTGCCACGATTAGCTGACTAGTCACGACTGTGCCAACTATTAAAATCATTTTCTAACTTAGTATTTTTTTCATARTCAAATAGTCACGGATTAGTCGACTATAAAAATAATAATTGTTTGTGGCGGCCCTAATTACGGTACCACTACTGTSCATGTGTGGAAAGGACAGAAAGGCGGCAGTGGAAGGTGCCGCAGCAGTTTGGTGAGAAAAACAGCTAAGCTGCATTCACACCGAACVCGATTTCAGCTTCAAAATCGCAGCCAACGCTCAAGTTGGTCGCATGTGCACTTTGAGGTCAGACGCAGGTCAGCTCTTGAAGCGCTGCACGGCAACAGCCTCCCTGCCCCTCCCTCCTCTGTCGGGCTCTGTTTAATGTCGGACGAGGAAGTGGCTTTGCTTTATTTACAGAGAGCAAGAGCATGTCACGCTCATCAGATAATTAATTCATAATTAATTCACCAGATAATTCAGAGACATTCTGAGTTTCATCACCCAGGAGCTGCGGGAGAGGCTCACAGCTCGCTTTCAGGACTGTTTTTGTCCCGAGTCCAGTCTGATGAGCCGCTGCCACGCATTGGTGAGGATATCTCTGTCAGGACACCGACTGCAGGCACTCGATTTCAGCTAAAGAGCTCCTCTCCATCTGTTTCAGGTTAGTGGACATCATTCAGGAAACTGTCCTGTCGGGAAATATGTCGCTACGTCACACAGTGGAGTCTCTCTGATTGGTTGACGTGGCGCGTCGAGCTGCAAAAGTTCAGATTTTCTAACTTCAGCGATTTGCGCCTCAACGCTCAGATCGTTCAAATCGCGCTGCTCTAATCACGCTTGAGGCGCCGCAGCACTTCCCGACGCTGATTGAAGCGCATCCACCATAGACTTTGTATGTAAACTTGATGCTCCTGATGCTGAAATCGCGTTTGGTGTGAACGCAGCATAAGAAAAAAAAAAACGACGCCTCAACTATTAAATTAGTCGACGATTTTAATAGTTGACAATAATCGTGACTAGTCGACTAATCGTGGCAGCCCTAACCTATATACATACACACCCATATCAATACACATAACACATAAATCCCATTTAACATGTCTGAAAAGGGGTAGGAAGAAGTAAAACTTATTTAATAACACCTCTTCTCCATAATTACACTAGATATTCATCCAGTTTTCAGAGTCCTATAAGTCTGTGATAGGAAAAATAAAAATAAACAAACAATTAAACATGTATACATAAAGTAATATGAAGGGTAATGTAATGTTATGCTAATACTAAAGTTTAGAAATGCAAATTCACATCCAGAGACATTCACATCCAACTACATACTAATACTCAAACACAGATTCACACTCACATACACAGTTCACCCCCAGCCCATCCTAAGTTACACGATTGTTTTAGGAAGGTTTAGGAAGGAAGGAACCAAAAAGCTGCTGGTAAGTTAACTCGCAAGAACACCACAAGCAGGAAGATGCATTGGCAGATCTTATTTAAAAGAGAAAAAAAAAACAATGAAAACTAAACTGAAACCAAGCATTACAAAAATCAATAATAACTAATAAAAACTAGCAAATCTACTCTAAAAACGAAAATTTAATGAATTAAAAAGGAAAAAATGACAATGGCTTAAAACTAAACTGTAATTAAAAAAAACCCAAACTGTTATAACCTTGCACACCACATGCCCCCACCCCCCCAGGACTTGACTCTTCCGAGTTTAACAAAGGCTGACTAAGTCCTGATGCACAGAAAGACACACCTGTTTGTGTTTGTCWGTTTGGTGTGGATCCTGTACAGTGTACAGCGCCGACGTCGTCGACTGCCACAAGGCTCCCAAAGCAGAAGAGGCTTCCAGTGAGACACCGAACACACCTCCTGTAGCGCCGAACAACAACCGAGCCGTTATTATCCTCATCCCTGTGAGGCTGGGAGGAGAGAGGACAAACCCWGACTATTTTGACTTTGCAAAAGTAAGAAAAACCGTTACGTCCTGGGAGGTTTTAGAACTCGTTTTGCTTAATAACACGTAAGCTACTTGAAAATTCGACTCGATTGAAGCGAGTTAAGGTAATTAATATTTAAATGTAAGTATTCCCAGTGGGAATAAGTTAGTTTTAATACATGTTTTAAATTAAATTGAATAAATTAAGTCAGRTGCCAGATGAAAGCACATCTCAGTCGGACGTTTTGTGTGTTTCTGTTCATTCAGAGCATATTGAGTCTGGAGTACTGCATAGGCATCATCGGAGGAAGGCCCAAACAGGCCTGCTACTTTGTGGGATTTCAAGGTGAGTATTAGCATAATGTGAAACAAAAAAATTTAATAAATAAATAAAAGACACACACACAGAGTTTGGCGTGAATAACAAATGATTTTTGCATAATATACCCTTTGTATGTGTAGAGACAAAGTAAGTTAATGTATTCGTGTTTGCGTGAGGAAAACGAAGAGGAGTGGAGATGAAAGCAAGCGAAGCAGGGCTTACTTTATTCTCTCTGACCCATCAAAACCTCGCCCATTTATCACACATAAACCTCCCAAGCTGTAAACCGTAATTGATTTCCATAGGAGGCATGCATTAAATTTTACCCAGCGTCCCCCCCCACACCCCCCCAACAAAGTGAGCCACTCTTCATCACCTTCAGGAGCCAGGAGGAACCTTCAGTTGTACATCTTGGCAGTCAATATTTACGCATTTACATTTTACCAATTTGAAATACAGTGTTGGATGATGTCTAAATGACAAGCAATACATTCTCCCTGCCAGGACACAGCTCAGCGCTGCATTCATCAAATGCTAATGCTCCAATATAATTGCATGTTTGTAAAAGTAACCTCCCCACCCCGCCCCCCGCGCAYGAAAATTAAACGACAACCTCTTTTCTTGTGGGTGTTAAAAAAAAATGTGCTTGAACAAACGCGTCTGATTGTGCAGAATTTAATCCGGCCTGGTAGATATTAAAAAGCAACAACCTTCTGGGAGGCATATTTGACGCTCGCAACCCCAACAGTAAGCCAGGCGGGTGACTTTGAGCTACTCTGCATAGATATTGAGGAAAAAAGCTTTTTTTGTTGGAGGTGTGGGGGGATAATCTGTTGGTTTTGAATAACTTGTCTTCTGTTTTGTCCTTGCAGACGACAGCTTGATTTACATGGACCCTCATTACTGTCAGTCTTTTGTGAATGTCAGCACTAGTGATTTCCCTCTACAGGTAATGTAAAATTACACAGACTGAGGTGCCAGTAATCTATATTTAGTAGTTTCTGTTAGTATTTAAAGGTACAAGTCCGATCTGCTGATTTATTTTCTGCTCAGAAAAGTAAAGCGTCCACTTCAGGGAAATACTGCAAACACAGACACTGAGACTTTAGGTTTTAGAAGTCGTACATAAAAATCAGAATCCAACACTTAATAGAAACTTTGTYTTGTGTTTTTATTGCATGTCATGGCGTACAATGTTACATCACCAGTCCATGGGCGTAATTCGCTGGGGGGTTATGGGGGTTATGACCCCCACAATAATTTGATCCAGTTAATATAATAGATCTGAATCTATTCTAAATGTTGAATCACGAGTAGTAACTCTTCCTATCCAATTTGTCGCACAGCAGGTAAATCCACACTCTTGAAAAATTGAGAAATKAAGGTATATTGTATAATATATCCTAAAAATGTCAAACATTTGATAYTGTTGGAAAATATAGGACAAAAAGGTAAGTCAGGGTTCCCACACCTTGGTCAACRTCATATTCAAGGACCTTTCAAGKACTTTCCAGTACCAATTTCCTCAAATTTAAAAACCACATGCGACACCAATTACCTGCTGCTAACGCAGAATGTTACCAATAAACAGGTTTAATATGTAAATTCAAAGAAAAACTCAACGACATAGAAGTTGTTGAGTCAGAATCAATGAAAGAAAATGTATTAAATGTATACCCTACATTCATATCCATATGTAATTATGTCCTGGGAGGTTTGGCAGCTCAGTTTGGGAGGAGGGGATGTGAACATGTGCAGACACTGAGGACAKGAGAAGCTGTGGTGCTTCACCTGGGCTCAGGAAGAAAGACCCGCCCTACTCTGCTCTGATTGGGTAAAACTATCACTATGGTTCACGTTATTTGTTCAAAGCCACGTTAGTTTACCGTAATCCTGTGTTATCCACCACAACAAATGTAAGTTTTTTTAAATATAATTTTAATATTATTATTTTTACAGATGATGAAAATTAGTTGTCAATAGAGAACTTCAATCCCCAAAAACCATTCAAGGACTTTCAAGGACAAGTGTAATTTTTGGCTGTTCTCACAAACTTTCCATGACCTTGAAATCTTCTTTTTTTTTCAAATTCACAAACTTTCAATGATTTCAAGGACCAGTGGGAACCCTGTAAGGCTTTTCTTAACTCTTGAACTAATGTGGAACAGAAAATGTGCAGAGTAAATGCAAAGAAAACTGCAAAATTAAGAAAATCCCAAAAAGAAATACAAAGTATTTGATCCCCAAAATATCTTGAATCGCTTTACAAAAGTAAATGATTCAATAAATAAACAGACAGAGAGCACCCCCCACCACCACCACCACCACCTTCAACGGTAAATGTAAAGTCACGCCTTTGACCAGGGCACAAAATGTTTGGCCACCATGACGATGGATAAGATGATGCATTTTTGCCTTTGATTATTTTATTTTATTTTTCTGACTCTAAGTACTCAGTTCGATGAATATGTTCTGTCATTTTACTGTTTCTCATTAGTCGTTTCATTGCCCATCACCAAAGAAGATGCCTTTTAGCCAAATGGACCCAAGCTGCACYATTGGCTTTTATTCCAGAAGTATTGAAGACTACGAGAAAATCAGAGAAGAGCTGTCCAAGGTAAAAAAAAAATAATAATAATAATAATAAAAACTGCTGTGACTCAATTAAAATAACTTATTCAATGCCATTATTTCATTACATTTTTTTTATAATCTAATTATTTTTTATTTTACCACTGCACATCTATAGCTTTGTTGTGGCAATAATTGTGTACATTTAGTTGACCAGTAGGTGGCACCATTTAGCTTCGAATCTGCTTGAATTYGTGCAGCCTGGTAGTTGTTGCACAAATGTTTGAAACCAATCTATCCTTTCCTAAATTCTTTATCATGTCTACCTAAAGCACGTCTCTCYTTTCACTGAAATGAATGTCATTTGCATCCAGAGACCGAATAGAATCTCGGGTGCTGAAATCTTCTTCTGCTGCTGTTTTAGCTGCTCCAGCCGTCCACAAAGGAGAAGTACCCGGCGTTCACGTTCGTGCAAGGTCGCAGCAGAGATTACGACCTGTCGGCGGGCCTGAGCCCAGAGAAGCGAGAATGGCCGTTCCTTCGGACCACTGACAGAACGGTAACCACTTCTGGGGACTTCGTGCTGCTTTGACAGCCCAGTTTATGAGTGCAGAAAAGAGGGCTTTAATTTGTAAAGACTGGAACTGATGGTAATCCACCAAAACCATGTTGGGAGACACTCAGTTAATGCACCTTTTACAGCTACAGTAATCCAGTGTTTACGTCATGGAAACATATTTCCTGAACAGAACTGTGAAAACATGGTGAGATTTTTGTAGCTTGGCGAAGTGAACACACTGAATCATTTGTCAGGGAGCCATTAGACATCAACTGCTGCTCTRTTGACTCTATAGATCTAACTTTCATTTAAAAACATTTAAAAAAGTACATGTTTTGCATCAGTATTTGTATTTTTGTAGTCGCAACATTAATAGAATCTTGAATAATTAAACAAACTTTTAAYATTAGCTTTCAAATGATATTGAATGAATTGAATATTGAATGATAACAGGCATTTTTAATTTTTATTTGCCAATGTAGATGATGTTTAAAAGTGCAAAAACAAAGTTAAAATTAGAAACATGTCATCTGAATAGATCTGAAAAGAACTAAGACCAAAATATTTGTGGTGTCACTGAGCAGGTGACACTTTACTGTTCATTTACATTTAAAAATTACAGATATTTAACTTAAATTAAGAATTCTAGGTCCCATTTCTGCTTTTATTTAATATAAACTACTATAGATTTAGAATAAGCACATTCAGGATTGAGTAATTTAGGATTATGCAATATAATTTTATTAAAAAAAACATTATAAAAGAGGCATCAGCTGCAGGATTTTTTAATTAGTTTGAATTTGTTTAGAATTTCAGAACGTTCAAGACCAACATGAAAGTTGATTGTAAATGTATTGTTTAAAAGTTGCCCTTCGGGTCACATGGACAGTTTATAGAGTTTATTTATAAGCCCCAGGGGCTGCAGTGAGCACCGTCGTGGGATAAAGGCTGTTTGGAGACACAGAGCTAAGAATGTTGTCCATCTGAATGAAAATTCTGAGTCCTCTTGTATTTCAATAAGTGACCTGTTTGAGTGYCATCATATATATTATTCTCTATATCACCTGCTGGTGATTTCAGCATCATCTCCAATTAAAACAACACTTGAATCAAATTTTAAGAATTTGTAACAAAGATAGACGCAAATATATTTAAAGTTGAACTGTTATCAACACTTGTTTATGTTGTGTTTGGTCATCCGTTTTAGCATTCTCATAGATATTTTTCACACGAAGGTGATTTTTCGCCAAAGTTTTGTAGATTCTTTGATACATTTCCTGTTTTTGTTTTTCCTCGATATTGATTTCTAACATTGAGAACRTAAAGATCTGTCATTGTGCAATAATTACCAATTAACAAACTGTACCTGTCATGAAGGAGGAAGGAGGATGGGTCAGATGAGCACTTTTTTATTACTTAAACACTGTAAAATCATTCAGATTAAGTCTTTGTGTTACTTTCAYAGCAACTCATGCTTTGTGTGTCTGTTTAAATTAACGCGTTAGGCAGAAGGAAAAAAAAGTTAAATAAAGTATTTCACATGGATCAGTTTGTTTCTCCATTTAAAGAATTCAAAGCTGCTCTCTGAGRGCAAATCAAATAAATAAATAAAATGTTTACTTCATTTCCCGCTATGCATAGAAATCTCAGTGGTGTGTTGAAATAAATTCAATTCTTTTTTCTCTCCCAGTCAAATACAGAAGATTAAAACTAATCGTACGTGCTAACCATCTCTACAGCCCATTAACCAGGAACCGGGAAAAACTGTGACCCGATGACACTGGCGGCAGTTGTGTTCCTGCGAGGAGGAAAAGCAAATATCCTTGTGTGCAAAGCTCTGCTGCCATGGATAATCTGCCTGTCGCCCCGCTCTGGTTTAAGCTATTCTAAGACCATTTTTCTGCACAATGCAAATTCTTGTATTATGATGAGCTGCGCTTTTTAAAGGCATGAAAATGCCCCCTTCTGTAGGGGAACCGGGCCAAGTGTGAGCTGGACGGACAGACTGAGGAAGAATCCCTTGTCTGTTCCTCTTTTCTGTCAYGGAGAWTCAGCGTCTGGGCACATAAAGGCATCCTTTAGATCCCCTGCTTGATCTGTGTGTCCATTTCCGTTTTTACTTTTTGGCTTAGCAACAGTGTGTGTAGACAGAGCGGGAACATGAAATATGCAATAGCAAAGCATCTACAGAGACATTCTTATATGAGATTATGAAAGGGTGGACATGAGATGTGACATTTAGGATTTTCTTTTTTTTTTTTTTGGACAGAAACATGACAGAAGCATTTGTGCTCTGGGCCACAGGGTGTTCTGAGGGTTAACTTTGTTCACCATTTATTTACAGGGATGTATGAATATTTGATTAATGAGTCACGGGCTTGAGGGGGGGGAAATGCAATAACGAGATAAACAAGCGGCGGCTTTACAAAGCGAGCCGATCACACACGTGCACACTAGGGTTGGGCAACATCGTCTCGTGTGCAATGAATCACCAGGAAAAACTGCCAACAGTTAATGTTTGCCGCTTTGCAGTTACTGCGATTTGTGTTGCGTGATGACGTATTCTTGCGTGCGACACACAGTCGCTACAAGGAGCGCATGTGAGCCYGACCGAAGCAAACCCTGTGAACTTGTTTGATCACCTGAAACATTGACATAAATTGGAGTAAGAGGAAAGCCAGAAAAAGTGGACCAAGGCCACAATGTCAGCTACGTTAGGATGATGCCCAAATACAAACTTCTACTTTTCCAAGGTGCTTCTTCATTTTTTTGTTCCATTTGGGGGAAAAAATAAATGGGGAGAGATTTCATAAGATTTGAAAAATATTAACCACTGCCGCTCAACTCCCGTTTTTGTGCCAGGCGAGTAAAATTTTGAGTTCTGATTCTGTCATTGCCAAGGCCACCAGCGAGACGTTAGCCAGAAATCTGTGGTATCGGAGTAAAGAACTGGCCAGACTTGTCATATTTGACAGAAGCATTGTACATGATGATCGTAGCTGTTCTCAAGGAGGGAGGTCACAATGATCCTCAAGTCTTGTGCAACAGTGGACCTAGAAGAAAATGAAGCTATTGTTACCAAAACTGTGGCAGATTTTGTTACATCTGCCTCAAGTCCCATTTTGAGGCATTCAGCATCAACATGAACTGCCTTGTCGATGACCCATCATTGTAGTCATCATGGCAGGATCTGTGTAGCAATAGGATGCCAATGACCAATGATTGGGATGTCAATGACTTTAACAAACAGGGAACTCATCCAGRATTACAATCAAGTGATCAGCAGTGGCAATACATGCTCCAAATTGTTAGGTGGCATCGATGTCAGTTCCTGGAAGTGAAGAAAGTCATGACCAAATGCCACTCTTCATGACTGTTTGTTCTYACCAAATATGTGAACTATGACACTTATTTCTTTTATAATTTTCTTGTAAGCCCATTTAAATGAGGGAGGATTGTTTTTCATCCATCCATTATCTTTCTTTCAGGTYATGGGGTGTTTCTGGTACCCACAGCAATCATTGTGTAAGGGGCAGGGTACACCGTGGATAGGTCACAAGGCCATCATAGRGCCACATAGAAACAAACAACCATACACAAACACTTAGGGACAATTTAGAGTTACTCATTTAGTTTTTGGTTTGTGGGAGGAAACCCACACACGCAAGGAGAGGAGCATTCAAACTCTACCCAGAAGGCTTCCCCGGGCCGGGATTGGMTCCGGCGACCTTCTTGCTGAGAGGCATCTGCTCTACCAACTGAGCCACTATGCTGCCGTCTTGTTTCGCTTTGTATTTCGTTTCTAAACAAGCATSCTGGCATGCACAAATGAGCTCAACTATTCTAATTTTCACCCCACATCTGGTAGTGATTAGAAAAGTTGTATTGAGATAAAATTTGGTACAAAAGATTTTCTTTGCAAAATTAGCTATTTTGTCAGGAAGCACCTTAAAAAAGTCACATTTTTATTTTTGGCTTACTGTAGAGAGGACCACCCTAATCTACRTATTAATCGTGATTTTAATTATCGGCTAAATAACACAATTAATCAAGATTTTTTTTTTTTTTTGGTTTGCCAATATCGCCCAACCCTACKGTTTAACACAGCTGCTTTAAATGCCAGTGATTCTCCTGATTCCAGAATATCTTATCTGTGTACAACCAAATTCCTGTTAACACGTTAAAGAACCTACAAATTACTATTTCTTATACACTGCCTGGCCAAAAACAAAAAGGTCACACATTTTAATATTTCATTGAACCACCTTTAGCTTTGATTATGGGATGCATTCTCTGTGGTATTGTTTGGATAAGCTTCCACATTGTCCCAACATTTATTTCCATCCAGTGTTGCATTCATTTTTCACCAAGATCTTGCATCAGTGATGGTAGAGTCTGACCTTCTCCAGCACATCCCAAAGATCCTCAATGGACTCTGTGGAGCCAATCTATGTGTGAAAATGATGTCTCATGCTCCCTAAACCACTCTTTCATAATTCCAGCCCCACGAATCCTGGCATTGTCATTTTGGAATATGGCCGTGTCATCAGGGAAGAAACAATCCATTGATGGAATAACCTGCTCATTCAGTATATTCAGGYAGTCAGCTGACCTCATTCTTTGAACACAAGCTGTTGCTGAACCTGGACCTGACCAGCTGCAGCAACCCCACATCATAGTACTTGGTTAAAGTGCCTGTGACATGCCAATCCATCAAATACAAAAAATCAAAGAAAACACATATTTTTAATAAGAAACCTTGCATAAAACATGCGATTTTACCCATTTTGTCCAGAAATGGCATATCTTCTTTTGAACTTGGCTCAGCCAAAGTGCAACAGGAAGTGACATCAAAGGGGAACTCTTTACGAAAGAGAACTCTGTATTCTTTGTTTATTGAAACAATATTATTTGAACTCTGACTCGTTTTCATCTCTCTCTGATATGGTCTCAGAATAATCTAAAGAAACATCAGATTCTTCTTTACAGTCTGTGTCGTTMGCTATTTTAGCAATGCTTTGTTCCATGCAGGCATTCCCCTTTGACATCACTTCCTGTTCCTTCACATGCAAATAACTCAACAACTGTTCATCTCAGCAGCGGGAAATTATTTTTGCAATATGCTAATATTGTTATCTTTCCAATAATGCCTTTTAAATTTATTTAAAAATTTTCWTGTCACAGGCACTTTAAATCCAGGTGGCAACATGTTTTTTTGGTCGGCCAGTGTATTTTCCCTCAGAATTTATATTTTTGGAAGAATTTTTCTCCATCCAGTATCAGATGATGATGGATGACACCAAGAACGTCCAGAAGAATTACATCCAACAAAACAGAAAAATGTAACATGAACTATTTGTGCATCTGTGCGTAAGGCTGTAGAGGGCGTGGGGAAATGCAGTGATGTCTTTTTTCCATTTTTTTCGTTTATAAGGAGAGTGTAAATTTAAATGGATAAATGTGTAGTTTACACATGTACAGCTTGTGTGTTAGACATTCTAAATCTTAGGTGTCACACTCCCTCCCCGCCTTCACACCAGGTGCAGGGGGTGTTAGATTTATACCCAGTAGCCCTTTGCCCACCCTTGTGGAATGCCATGCATCTTCAAACAGGTACCTCACTTTGAAATCTCATCTCGGCGTGATCTCTGGGCGGCTAAATATACCAAGCTCTCGGATCCTGCAGCCGTCGGAGCGTAAATACCGCCGATGCTGCATCAGACTGCATTCACAGTCTCTCGTCTGTCCATGCAACTGTCCACTTGTCTCCACTCGTCTCCTACAACCTGCCCTCACCCCCCTCCACCGCCTCAACGCCGGCTCCTGGAGAAGTGCTGAGGCACTACATGCCGAACACATCTCCTCTGGGCTGAAGCCAGACAAATGTCACGACGCCGTGATTAATCAGCGCCACACAAGACAGCAGCTTTGAGGGGCGTTCTACCCCATGAACATGACCTACAGCACGCGGGTCAAAGGTTCTTCACCTCTTTTCCCTCTCCGGTTAAAAATGTGCTCTGGCACATACTCCAAGTCAAATAGTTTAAAATGGATCATTTTACACCAACAACAGYGGGTATAACAGTTCACGCTGTAATTCAAAATAAACGTGTCGCCGAGGGAAGCGTGGGACGCTTTACTGGACTGTAAAGTGTCAGCAAAATATTTATAGATTTCAAGTGGGTTTTTTATGATGTATGATTTTCTATGAGTATCACATAATTTATTATAACTTTTTTATTCATTTCATTTAAAAACCAAAAAAAAAAAAAATCTGTGTACAACAAAAACTACAAAACACAAATAAGCAGCAGAAAGAAGAAAAAAATCTTACATCTGTCCCTGTCTTCCAAAAAATAAATTCAAGCAATAATAATCTTCAAGTAACAAAAACAAAATAAAAACACCAACTCCTCAAACAACAGCTCTTATGAATACACATTATACTCTTCATATGTCATTAACAAACTAACTTTTATCATTCTCTTAAACAAATAAACTGAACCAGCATTTTAAAAATCACTTTACAGTTTGATCTTATTCCTTGGACTGAATTATATCGGTTCTTCAAATTTGTTCAAATTTTAGGTTTCTAGAAAGATCTCTGGCCCCTTAAGATCATAA